AATTTTAACTTTAAAGCCCAGGGGAACAAAGAAAATGTGTGTATGTCTGTGTGTGTGAGTGAGAAGATCCTTTTTTCCCCAATCACAGTTGGATTTTGTTCCTTCTGGTCCTTCCTAGCCGCAGAAAGGATCTGTTTAATTGGCAGAACCTGGAAAGCATGGGGGTTGGTCAGAGCACAGAACCTTTTGTAGGGAAAAGAGAGAGGCTGTGAAAATGAAATGGAATGAATGAAAGAATTGGATTTGGGCAATTAGCTGGTAAGACCCTGTAAGCAAAAGCTAGGAGCGGTCCGCTTACCTCTGAGAGCAAGCAGAGGTCTGCAGCGGACGTTAGAGAGTCCGCAAAACAGTTGTGGTGAAGCCGATCGGTGGCTGAGTTACCCGTACCTTCTGAGGGAAACCAGAAGCGTCTCGACAGGCCACTTTTTCGGCCTGAAACCGTGGGGGATCCCTCAAGGAGCCCGCATACTCTGAGAGGGATCCAGAGTGCTCCGTGAGTCCCTTTTTTGGACTCACAAAACCGCGGCGCTAGGAGGAAGTCTCACAAGGAGGCTTCGACTGTGTAGTGTGAAAGAAGTCTCACAAGGAGGCTTCGACTGTGTAGTGCCCTTTAGCGTTAAGAGGAAATTCCATCATAAAAGTATGGGAAGTTCAAGTTCAAGGGCTGAGATAGGTTTCCCGGTTGAGAGCTTGCTCGAAGCCTGGGACAGGAATCAGCTTCCTGTCCAGGCTGGAATGAAGAAGAAACGGTTAAAAGAGTTAGGAAAAAAAATAGACTTTGCTTAGGGCTTTGCTGGGAAACCAATTTGGCTAAATAAAGGTACTTAAAAGGGAAAATAAGAAATAGTGATTCTCTCTCTCTCTCGTCTCTCTCTCTCTTCTCTATGCAACCACGTGGTATGTTTAAGATCTGTGCCTTCCCTAATTTGAGCTATCTGAAACTATGGTGGGAATGACTAGGATGTGTAAACCTAAGACTTCTGTTCTCTTGTCTTTGTGTACTGTATATATGTTTGTCAAAGTCTGTGTGTGAGAGGTAAATGTGACTGTTAACTGTTTCAAATCCAAAGGGGGAAAAAAAAAAGAATTTTAAATTCTGCTAGAAAGTCTGCTTAAAAAAAGCCACAAAAAGGAAATACCTCACTCTGTTTGTCTGGCCAACAAACAGAGTGAAGAAAAAAAAAGTGTTTGTTTGTTTGTTTGTTTTTCTTCTTCCTTTCTCTCTCTGTACTCTTAAGAACAGCCTTAAGTTAGCAGGAGGAATGTTTTAAGTTCATCTGCTAGAAAGATTTCACTCTTGCATTTAATAATAT